TAAAAATTATCACAAAGAGTTACGTGGTCATACATGTGTTTTCGAAGTTCGGAAGCTACCTTTTGATTTTTCAGGTTTTATGGTTTTTCCTGTAAATCAAAGCTCTCAGATATTTTTACGCTGCCATTAGCCATTTCATATTTTACTGGGGACTACTTCCGTTTCGGTTTGTTCTACGTCGTGTGCGTGAAGCAGCTGCTTCTACTATTTCCAGTTCTGGAATCAAGATATCCAACTCTGTTTGGATGTGTGGTTCGCAGTGTCGATGGATACTTCAGGCCAGACTTTATTATATTGACTTTTTCTAGATACATTTGGTGTAGTCATGTCCCCAACAGGTTGAGTTCGTTTAAACCCACAAAATGTTTATGTCGTTTTATTGACGTTTTCAAAGGATCTGGCGCGTATTTGGTGCCTATTGAAAAAAAATAGAGCAAGACTCTTGATCTACATCTCTATATATCCTAGATGTAGGCCTATTTTACACAGAATAATTCAAGACCGAATTGGAGTAGTTAGCAAGAACAGAAGTGCGGTTTGTGCTTTGTCATGTGTGTGCCACAGAATTCTACTTCGTGTTTACAAAACTACTTCTACTGTTTCCAGATCTAGAATCTCGATATTTAACTCTGTTTAGATGTGTGTTTTGCAGTGTCGATGGATACTTCAGGTCAGACTTCATTGTATTGACTTTTTTTCTAGATATATTTGGTGTAGTGATGTCCCCAACTCGTTGATCACTCCGTTATATTGACGTTTTCAAAATTTGGAGAGTACTTTCTGAGTAGCGTTTTATAGAGCAAGGCCCAAGATCTAGATTTCTATATCCTAGATGTACATGTATTTGGAGCACAGAATTCAAGACTGATTTGGATTAGAATCTAGTTAGCAAGAAGATGTCAATCTAGATCGAGATCTGTTCGGAGTAAAGATGAACATGGAATATGAGTTTATAAAGTAGTAAAATACCCCCCTGAACATAGAGTTTGTTTAACCCTACGAAACAGAGATAAAAGCTAGATGGAACGGAGAAAGGCGACTATCAATCAAAATTTTCGTTTTAATAGTCAGAATCTGGAGGAAGACCTATATCACCGTTCGTAATAATAATAA